GGCCGTATTCAATTGCTGTTTCTCGTCGGCACCGGTTGGCTTTGTTCTACCTACCGCCATTAGAGTGCACTGAACTTGGAGCATTTGGCCTTGACGGAGTCACGGAGGTAGTGGGCAACTGTATCGCTGTTATTACGCTCAGGCAATGTCAGCTGCAGAGTTTTTGTGTGTTGTGTGTAAAAACTCTACCCTTGTACCCGAACACAATAACAGAGATTCATCGAACGGCAGTACCTGCAACACAGTGAGGTCCTTCTGAACACCGCCTGTATGTCGTACGTTTCCCTCCACGACGTCAATATTGAAACTAGTATAACGGTTTTTCCGCCAGCGTAGCATTTTCCGAGCATGCAGATACGGAATCTATTTATTCAGCAGTACAAGTACTGCTGAAAAATTCAGCAGTACTGCTGAATTCCCTTCTCAACTGCTGAATTTTTTAGCAGTACTGCTGAATAAATAGATTCCGTTTTTCAGATTCCGCCACCACGCAAAACAATAAAACTGATAGTGTCGTCTCAAGACAAAAATGATTCACAGTATTACTATTAATATTTATTGTAGACTAGCAATCGTAAAACTAGTCCTTTAGGGATACGAAATCAATGAAAGGATCGTAAAAGTGATTGTCGTCATCCTTGTATCGTTTTCCTTGATGTTTTGCAAGTCTCTTCTCCTTTTTCTTCTTCTTTACCAACCAGTATGCAGAATCCTTGTTTCGCCTAGTCTCCTGATAGATGTGGGCCCGGAAAGGTTTCAAGTCAAACGCTTTGTACTCATCGCGTTGTTGGTGGAGCATTTTGGGCTTCATGTCCTTGTGCTTGCCATTTTCGACATCAACTCTAAGGGAAGCTTCTGCTGGTGACCCATGCCATTCGCCGTCCGTGTCTTTGGCTAACGTGCAGTTACCCAGCATAATCTTCGTTGGCTCTTGCTGGACATCTTTGAACATCTGCTTCACAGTCTTTGCATCGGCATAGAAATCGTCCGTGAAGAAGCTTTCTTGTCGCCTAGTCTTGGATTATCTATCGATTTGTTCGTTGCTCCAGCTGCTTCCTAGAACCGTTCCTAGTTTCAGGAACTCATCTTCAGAGAAGTGGATCGTCATGGTCGGTTAAAGAGCTGCTCTGGCAGGTTGTGTTGCTTGTCGGAGGCGTTGTCAAGAAGGTGTTGATGGTGGTTTATATCTGACGATTGATTGGCGATTAATATAACGGGAATGACAAAAGGAATTTTAAAATTCAGCGAACTGCTGAAAAATTCAGCAGTACTGCTGAATTCCCTAATCGAAGATTACCCGGGACGGCCGGGAAAATCAATATTTACTCCCAAGAATTGTATGCTAAATTTCTATTTCCCGGCCGTCCCCGGCGCCGCCTCCACTCCTGGGCTTGAATCGCATGATGTAGTCTTTGTCTGGAGAGATCGCGCACGTATGCTACCATGGAAACTGTGGCAAAAGCCCGATGCTACATACGAGAAGCGAGTAGGTTTGGCACAGTAGCGAGGTACTAGGTTAGTGACTGGTTTGCACCGAGGTCGAATCATAGGATTCGAAAAGGACAATCAATAGGATAGTACACGGTTGGCGGACGGAGCGAAGAGTGTCGACGAAGAGGACGGAAGATTTGGAGAAGACATTGTTCGCAATGGGAGCTTGTGGGATGATGGAGGCGATAGAAGGAGTTTAGCTGCTCGGTCAAGACCGTCAGCTCTTTTTTGCTTTTCCCGCCCTCACCACCCTCTCTCTCATTTGCACCATAGCTCGGTACCCCATTTGGTCCGGGTTCACTGAAGCGACGCGCCGTAATCGACACGACGGAAATTGAGACTAAGGAAGAGCTAGAAACGCCCATACGTCTCCCGTCTTGCCGATCTATAATCAACTGCTGAATTTTTCAGCAGTACTGCTGAATAATTAGATTCCGTTTTGTCAGATTCCGTCGCTTTCAGTTGGCGCGCACGCATCTCAATAGTTTAACGGTCATAATTCGGGATTCCTAGGGTACAGGTTTAGTGCTACGGACGCCGGAAGGACTATATTCACCAGGACCTCCCTGTGTTGCTGGTACCGGTACCGGTACCTGGTACGTTTTGTGTACGATGGAGAATGGTCGTCAAATTGGGGCGGCCCCCGTCAATTTCGAAATTTCGAAATGACCGGAAGGCTTAATAGTTTTGCATGGCGACGCGCCAATAGAATTCGATTTCGTCGATTGAGTGTTGATGGAGGAGATGCATTATATGCTCTGAAGTTTGCGATTGGCTCACTCAGTTTCTTCAATATACCCATTATATATATAATTTCGGGCTTCTGGGAACGCGAAAAGAAATCACTTCTCCAGTTCCCGAAAGCCAGTACTCGTAAGTACGTTACAGTGATTGCACTTGTCACTTGTGGACAAGGCAGCCAACTGCAATACCATAAGGCTACCTGTAGAGGACACTACTACAATGGATGGCATGGAGGAAAACATTTTCGAACACAACTCGACCTTGGTTGAGTCTGAATCGAATACGACTACGATTACGACCACTGTATCCTCCTCATCTCTGTCGCCAGCACAAGAATCAGTCATTGCCCTTTTGCCAATTCTGCCATCTCTGCTCAGCATAGCTGGATCCTTATGCATTATTCGGCTGGTACATCGCAAGAAGTATCGTGCACCCTATAGGAGATTACTCTTTGGAATGAGCGTATACGATGTATTTTCTTCTCTTTTTGTGCCACTTCAGTCCTTTCTTGTGGACAAAGAGACCAGTCGGCGGCGTTTCGCCGTGGGAAACGAAGCGACCTGCAACTTTTTGGGTTGGGGATTTCAAGCCACCTGCGGATGCTTCCTATACTTTGGTGCCTTGAGCACTTATTACTTGATGGTGGTTCGATTTGGTGTCAAGGATGAATATTTTGCTCGAAGAATCGAACCATTCATACATGGGTTCATAATATTGTTTTCAATCATCACCGCCTTTGTCGCCTTGGGGAAAAACTTGTATGGGGAACAAGAAATCGGTGCTGGCTGCTACTTGACACCCAACGAATCGTGTGATGCCGCATGCATAGCCAATCTGGCACTCATCCTTACTGGAATCCCCTACGTCTTCACACTGTTCTTGGTGCTAGGCAACAATCTCACCATCTATTGTCATGTCCGACGGACTGTGCGGCAGTACGTGAAAAACAGTCAAGACCGAGCCGAGAAGAATCTATCCTCAGTTCTTGTGTCGGACCGTATCGTTGCAAGCAATAGGGACGGCTCTGTGGACTTGGACAAGTCTATAGAGGAGACTGCCGCTGTTTCGTTCAAAGTGACCAAGCGAATTGCCCAGGTGGACAACCAACAAAAGCGAGTCCAGTTGGTTCGTACCCAATCGTTACTTTATTGTGCTGCTTTCATCTTAGCATACATGTGGACTCTGATTCTGCGAGCCGCTATCAGCTACACAGAAGGCGAGCCTGGACCAAAAATGGAAGCGGATTTGTATCTGTTCATGGTGCTACGAGCCATCTTTGCTCCTGCCATGGGATTTTCAAGTTTTCTCATCTATATCAGACCTCGGTATTTGCAACTGCGAGAACGAACGGCAGAGTCTAGACTTGAGATTCTCGTTCGAGTCATCCAAGACGATGATATTAGATCAATTAGATCCTCGCTGAATAACAGAGGAAGTTCGTATCATTCCAACAAAGACAGCCGATATTCTGAAAGCCGACGTTCTGAAACTCAGTAATCATTGCATGGTGACACAAACCATTTCATTGACTACTTTTAAGACTTTGATAGAAAACGATAAACATAGAAATGTAATTTAGGTGAAACAGTGCATACCTGGTACTCTTTATTGTGGATACTCCCAGGTACGCTACCAGTCGTACCAGGTACCGGTACCGGTACTGCACGATTGACTCAATGTTGAACACAGTACTTTCACAGCCTCAAATACCGTAACTGAAAAGTATATCATTTTCGCGCATTTCGGCACGAAACGTATATCGATATCATGTACTTTTCCGCAAGGCCTAGTGGCTCAATCTTGGCACGTAGAAATCGTACTGTTTTCGCGTAGACCAGAATACTAGCCTGGTTGAGAATAATACGTTCCTGAAAGGCACCCGATTCCCCACAACAAACGAAAACATCACCGTCGATGGATACAAAACAAACGAAACAAATGAAACGAAACAAAATGAAACGAGAACAAAGATACTGATGTAAATGTAAGTTTTGGATCATGGCAACATCTCGGACTTCGTTGTGGAATTTTCTCAAACATGGCTCACTGCAAAACCTGTAGGGGTTGGTGGCATCAGCATCGGCATCGCTTTCGTCAAACCATCCCCTCTGAAAGGAACACATTCCATGAACGGGGATACCACTAGACTTGCAACGGTGCGCTCCCGGTCCTTCAAGTGCCAACGATTCACCTTTGCTTCCAGCAAATTCACATTTGCCCACTCTTGATGGCGTTTGATTAGGATTTTGCCAAACATATCAATCAGCCACTGGACGTATCTGGGCAAGGTCTCCGCATCCTGGGCACTACAGAGCAATGAGTACGGTATATCCTTACGCCATGATGAGGGCAAAGGTCCGCCAGGAGTATTATGTCGGCGCTCTTTTCTGAAGAACATACTGGATGGCATTTCTTCCAGTTTCTATACCACTTCTTCATCACGTGAATCAACAATCAACACTGTTCTGCGCTGGGTGGTCCATGGGGTTATCGATAATTTGATTCGATGTCTGTCGTCTCTGCTGAGAAGATCACTGCAATAGGCACTTATTGCTGTTGTTCTAGATTGCGGATATGTTGTCAAACCGATGACTGTTTGACATCTCGCCTTTTACCATGAACCATTGGACCCAGCAGAGATGCGAAAGAAAGCTTCTGGTCGTAAATCCAGAATTGGACTGAGGACAGAACACTAGTAGCGGCTTCTGTCACGACGGAAAGCAGGGATGTGCTGAAGCGGCGATCATACCGTTGTTCGAGTTTTGTTGCGTGTTGCTCCTAGAATGAATGACTTCATAGCCGAAGGACTCTATATTATAATGTAGCATATTAATTGATTGTAAACCGTTTATTATAAACACAACTAGCAGTTTTTATGATCCATGTTGGCCCTTCCTCTAGAAGCAATCCCGAGGAAGATAAACAAAATATCCATTTTTTCCTTCTAGCCGGCGTGTTCTCTCCTAAAAGTATCGGATCGACAGCCGCTTTGGTATCTTTTGAAATCCTACATGTCAACCAATGGAGGGCCTCGTGCACTACTTCTCACCCAAACAACGGAAAATAGAAAAACTTCACAATCATCATTTCTATCAAACTATTTTAGGTCTTTCCAAGATATGCCTGGGCATTGTTACTTCATCTCATCCACCATACTGGAAGGAGGATTTTCAGCGCCCTCTCATTGCCGGGGCAGGGCGTTGAAGGATGTGTGATGTAGGCCCTTGCCAGAATCATCGCCTATTGCTTTTGGGAAGAACTTCTTGATGTAGCTCGAAGAGGAGTCGAAGAGGATATGCCCCAAGGTCCTGTCACCGTGCTCAATAGCTGGTATCGATGGAGGAATCGTGCGTCCTCCAGAGGCTGTATGTCGCTGAGCTGGCTGGGTGCCTCCCGTGTATGGCTCCTCTCATCAGCGTTCTTGGAGTGAAATATACTGCATTATTGCGATGAAACATCAAACGATATCCAGTGACTTCTACCCACGATAAACTATGTTTATGCAGTGAGAGGACGTACAGACACGTTTCCGCCGGTCACCACAGTACGTGTACGTGTACGTGTACACGTGTACGTGTACTCTTACTGTACCGTACAGTACACTGTACTACCGGTACTGTTCATCCATTGAAATGCAACAGGCCCAATGAACTTGCTTTGGGACGATTTGTGTTATTTTCTCAGGTGCAATAA